TCTCTGTCTGTCTGGCGAGCGCCCGGTCCCTAAAGGGAAAATCTCTCCAAAAAAAAAAAAAAAATTCAGCTTTCAGGACCAGCAGGTGGCGTAATAGCTATGTCACTGGACTCCCATGTAGTCGACTGTGGTCTGAGTCCCGGACGTGGTGGCTTAAACTCATACCAGGCACATGTGCATGGGTGCCCAAGATCCCGAGAGGAGAATGGGGTGGGGGGGTGATTTCTCATTTTCTGTCTCTCTGTCTCTCTCTCTTTCTGGCAAGCACACGCGCCCTGTAGCAAAAAACTCTCAGAAAAGAAAAAAAAAAATCAATTCTCTGAACCAGCCAGTGGCATAGTATTATGGCAGCTGGATCCCACATGGCCAACTGTGAAATTCAAGTACTGGATCATGTGGTTTGAAAGACATGCCAGCTTGTGTTTCCAAAATCTTGAGAAGAAAATGAGTAAAGGAAAAGGGATTGCAGCATAGTCACCCGCCATAGGGGCTAAGAGGTGCTTTCTCATTTTCCTTCCTTCTCTCTTTCTCTGTTTCTCTTTGGTGAATATACTCACCCTATAGCAAAACTTTAAAAAAGAAAAAAAAAATTCAGTTTTCTGGCCCAGCTGCATTGGTACAGTCCATAGAGCACTGCTCTATAGTGCTGGAAAACTAAGGTTTGGATCCTGGGATTGCCCAAAATTGCCAGGTGTACATAACTGATCCTGGAAGCCTGAGGTTGAGGGAGGAGGAAATAATGATTTGGCAAGATCTTGTTGAAGGTGTCTGTCTCTCTTATATGAAAGAAATAAAAATTATTGTAGTTAGCGTTCTGAATCCCATCCCTAGAGATTTCCATACATGCATAAACCTACAGTGTTATTCAGTTCATTAGAAGGCAGGAGAATGAAGCATACTGAGTATTAAGATTCAGTTTTCTATAGTGATGCCTCCTTATTGTTTTCATAATACAAACTATAGAAAAGATGTGAGTTTTTGTATATTTTTATACATTATTTAAATAATTATTTATTAAAATTATTTATTTATTCTAATTTGACCAGAGAGGGGCAGAGTGAGAGAGAGAGAGAAAGCCACCAGGTCCAGGACTTGAACCATGGTTGGCCATGTGGGAGTTCAGCACCTGCTGGCCCCAGTTTTTGTATATTTTTTAAGTGTTTGGCAAAATGTTACTAAATGTATTGAGAAAAGCTTGAATAGGATGTGGTAACTAAGAATCAAAAGCTCAACGTCAGTAATACATCTTTTCTTACTAAAAACACTCATTGATTTTACTTTAATGTTTTTATTTTTCTAATGTGCCTGGTTTGCAGGGTCACGTTAATACTTTGGAGGAAGTGTAATTGCTAAAACATTAGAACTGAGGGACCAACAGATGGCATAATGGTCACATCACTGGACTCCCACATAGTCAACTGCAGTTCAGAGTCCCAGACTCGGCAGCTTAAAACTCATGCTGGGCACATATGCATGCATTTCCAAGATCCTAAGAAGAGGATGGAGGAGAAGTGATTGCAGCGTGGCCATCCCCACTAGGGAGTGACGCTTTCTGTTGCTTTGTCTCTCGGTCTCTGGCTAGTACACACACCCTAGAACAAAAAAAAAAATCTCTCTTAAAAAAAAATTAGGACTTAAAATTGCATACCACGAACTGGACACAGGCATGAATAGAAAGAGATGATGATCTGTGAAGGCCAGATGAAGTTAAAATGAGTAACATTTCAGATAATTCATCAGATTCTGAGTTAAGACAACTTGTTAGGTAACAGCAGTTAGGAGGTAAAACTCCATTGAGCCCTTTTAATGATTAATAATTAAAAGTTAATAACATGTAATAATTTAGATACTACTGTATAGTAATTTGGGTGGACATTAACAATTTTATAGATGAAACAGGCACAGAAAAATTAAATGGGTTTCCTAAGAATACATAGTTTATTAGTAGCGGTAATTCTAAGTAGACCCAGTAGTCTCACAAAATCTTTTAATCAACAGTTTTCTTCTGAAGTAGAAGTCAAAATGTTAATACTATATGCTGGAACTTAATGATGTTTGGGTTATTTCCTTGCTAGAATTGTATCTTGGTCAGCATACATGTCTGATTAGGATCTGAGTAGGGTTATTGTAAAGTGAAGATTTAGTGTAATTCGGAGTTTGATGGAGGGGGGAGCCATGTTTTATAACGTTATTCCCTTGATAGTGAAGACTGTGATGTTCAAGAGAGGATTTCCTTCTTTCCTTTTTGTTCTTGTGTTACTAGGATTTCCAACAGAGTGTTACTGTGGTCCTCTTTCAAGATGAGAATACATTAGTCTCAGCAGGAGCTGTGGATGGGTGAGAGTTTCTATTTCTTGTTTTTTTGTGTTTTTTTGTTTGTTTTTTTGATGAGATGTTTTTCATAAGCTGCAGTAGGGAAGTTACATGGTTCCATTATAATTGAACACATTCGTATTTAACTTTTTATGTAGCAAGTACCTCAGCTGAGAAAGGGAACTGCAGATCACACTGGAAAATAAATAGTTCAGACTTTAATTCGTATAAGCATTTGTGATAATGCATGTGTTCTTAGCCCATTGTCTAGCATATAGGAATAGTGTTAGCTGCTGATGCTAATATAGAGAAGAAACTGGGTGGGTAGCTTGCTTACTTTATGTAGGATAATTTAGTCTCGTATTCTTTTGAGGAGTAAAGTTTCTATTTGGATTTTACCTTTTCAGGTTTAGGAATATCCTGAAAGAAGAAATTTGACTCTGGGCATGTTATTGACATTTCTGCGAGTAATCTAACTAGGATTGATAAGAAGGCCTAATGATTTTCATTACCTGCCATCCATGATTGATCTGAATTTTTGGTTTCCAAATAAGTCTGTGATACTTACTAATTGGTCATTTTTTTAGAATATGAGTTATTTGCAGACAAGGATTTTTTCATTTTAAATACATTTATGTATTCTTTTTTTTTTTTTTTGAGAGAGATTTTTGCTATAGGGTACATGTGCTCACCAAAGACACAGAGAGAGACAGAAAGTGAGAAATCATCCCTTGGGGGGATGGCCACACCACAATCCCTTGTCCATTCTCCTCTCAGGATTTTGGGCATGCACGAATATGTGCCTGGTGTGAATTTAAGCCTCCATGTCGAACCGCAGTCAACTACATGAGAGTCCAGCGACGTAACCATTATACCATCTGCTGGTCCCCCTTTTTTAATTTTTTATTTTCCCATTATATTTTCCAAGTCTTTCCTTTCTGCAAAAATTTTAATTTAAAAAATGATGGCCTATTCAAATAGGATTTTCATTATGTCCTCTAGATATCAAAACTCTTCTGTGAACCAAATTCTGAGCCACAAATAAAGGATTATCTCAAGGTTAATAGTTATATTTGTGGGGACCTGTCTCCTCGGTGAGCACACACTCCCTATAGCAAAAACCTCTCTCAAAATAATAAAAAACAGTTATACTTGTGAATAGCTATGAAAGCTTGCTGTTTATTTCCAAGGATACTGCCCTTCTATATCAAGCTTATATTTTCAAGTTGCGTACCAAGTAGAGGTACAGGATTAAAGCAATTATCCTAGTAGATAAAATGAAAAAATAATTTCTCTCTTTCAGAGGACTTTTTTTTACTAGATTACTTTACATTTATGTATAAAAATATAATCATAGGGACAGAGTCTGCTATTTAAGATGTCAAAGAATATATGCAGAGCATTAAAGGCTTAGGAAGTGTTTTTCCTAAAAACAATGGAACAGTGACTCTCAGCACACAACCTCATCTTCCTTTTCCGCTCCCTTCGAGTAAACTCAAGTAACCCATCACTGGGTCAGATCACATCTGTTTCCGTCTGCCAGAATTGTAAGCCTGACATTGGAGATGACAATATGAAGATAGTTCATCTGTTTCCCAATGAGATGCCTTCACTGTACCTGGTTAACATGCTAGAGGAGTTACATTAAAAATCATTTTACATTCATTACAATTGAAATTGTTTGGGATTGGGAGATGTACAAAATAATTTTACTTGCCTTTGTTTTTAGGATAATCAAAGTATGGGATTTACGCAAAAATTACACTGCTTATCGACAAGAACCCATAGCATCCAAGTCTTTCCTTTACCCAGGGAGCAGTACTCGGAAACTAGGTAAGCCTTTCCTTGGACTGTAGGATTTTCAGGGGAAGTTTTGAGTTTTTGCTAAAACTTTAAGAAACTGCATCAGGCTAATTTTCATTGGGAAACTTTTAATATCTTTTGAAGTTCAAGAGATAAAAACTTAGCAATATTTTTGGTTTGTATACATTTTGGGGGGAAAATAATTTCGATGGTTTTTCTTGTAGAATGATCCATTTTGCCTTTGAATTTTAGCCTCAGGTCTACTCATTGGTATTATGACATGCTAACTAAAGTTTTCTTTTTCCAGGATACTCAAGTCTGGTTTTAGATTCCACTGGCTCTACTTTATTTGCTAATTGCACAGATGACAACGTCTACATGTTCAATATGACTGGATTAAAGACTTCTCCAGGCAAGATAGTAGTCATTCACATTCGCTTCCTAATAATGGGGCTTTCTTGTTAGTGATTTTTTAATGTTATTTTTTCTAAACCAAACTTATTAAGACCTATGAGGGCTTTAGTGTCTTTGATTAGTTTCAACGATGTTTTCATAGGTGTGCTTTCCTTGTATGATTTCATAAATAAACAACATCTTGCTCTTTATGGTGACTTAATTTTAATAGTGGGTTCCTCCTGAAATTATACCTTTTGGCCACTATTTAGAGTTATTTCAGTTTTTTAGTAAGCTATATGGTAGAGAAAATTGTCCTCAGATTTTGTCTTTTTTTGATGGTTGTTAATTAAAATTAGGGGGCTGAATTTTTCAGATTTTCAAAATAATTTCAGTCTACCTTAGACTTTTCCTTAATGTTGGACAAAGGCATTTTATCTCTTGGTGTTTTCCCATTTTTATTTCTTTTCTCAAGAATATAAAAATCTTATACTTAATAAATAGGGACCAGCAGTTGGCATAGTGGCTATGTTGCTGGACTCCCATATAGTTGACCACAGTTCGGATCCCAGATCCGGTTGCTTAAACTCACACCAGGTGCGTGTGTGTGCATGCCCAAGATCCCAAGAGAAGAATGGAGAAGAGATTACACCATGGCCATCCCCCCAGTGTGTGATTTCTCACTTTCTGCTTCTTAGTCTTTCTCTTTCTGGTGAGCGCATATGCCCTATAGCAAAAACCTCTCCCCCCCCAAAAAAAAAAAATTAATTAATTAATAAATTGTATTTTTAAAAAGTAACCCAAGTTTCTCAAGCATGCTTTAAGAGAGTTATTCGGGTTACACTATTTTTAAGAACATTATCAGTTACTTAAACAAGACCCGTTGCCTGGTTCTTTCCTCAATATAGCTCTATCAAAAACACTTGAATTGCATAACCAATCCCTAGAGCTATCTATTTGCCACTAAAATAGGATGCACTGATAAACAAGAAACCTCAAAATAGTATAGAACTTACGTTGTTTGTGCTTAGAAAAGTTTCCAAAGATTGCCTCAAGCTATTATTAGGACTTTGATATCTAGGCAGGATCACAATTAGCATTTCCAATACCTTGGATTAGACTGGTGTTCTCTTAAACAAGAGCAAGAGTATTTGGGAAAGGAAAGAAGTTTTATAACTCCTTTTGCTATTTTCCTTAATGGAATCAACTTGGAGAACTGCTGATCTAATTAGTTATATAAAATAGAAATTTCAAAAGTTTTCGCCCAAAGATTTGACCTAATCCTGATTATATACTATATATTATTTATATATGTTTTATAATTCTGTTCTGGGAGTCCAACAACATAACCATTATGTTATCTGCCGGTACTTTTTTTTTTTAAGAGGTTTTTGCCATGGGGTGTGTACACTCACTAGAGAGAAAGAGACAAAGATAGTGAGAGGGAAAGTAAGAAATCAGCTCTCCCAGGGGAGCTGGCCATACCGCAGTCCCTTCTCTCCCATTCTCCTCCTGGGATCTTGGGAATGCATACACATGTGGCTGGCATGAGTCTTTTTGTTTGTTTGTTTGTTTGTTTTTTCTTTTTTCTTTGTTTTGGAGAGGTTTTTGCTATAGGGGCGTGTGCTCTCGTTAGACAGACAGAGAGACAGAAAGCGAGAAATCACCCCCCCAGAGGGGATGGCCACGCCGCAATCCCTTCTCCTCCGTTCTCCTCTCAGGATCTTGGGCACGCACGTACACGAGCCCAGTGTGAGTTTTAAGCCACCAGGTCCGGGATGCGAACCGCGGTTGACTACATGGGCGTCCAGCGACATAGCCATTATGCTAACTGCTGGTCCCAAGGCTGGCACGAGTTTTAAGCCACTGTGTCCAGGACTTGAACTGCAGTTGGCCTTATGGGATCCTGCAACGTAACCACTTCGCCATCTGCTGGCCCAAGTTCTGATTACATTATCTGCTGTATAATTTTTGGTAGAGTATGGCACTAAAAGGGACCTTGAGTTTGGTTTATTCTTTTGCTGTCAAAGAGACATACCCAAGTCAATTTCACTAATAATAACCTTTTTCTGTGCTCCTAAGACAATTTTATTTGCTCTGATAGATAAACAGATGAATAGATTTATTTCTTAGATACCAGCATGTGTGTGTGCATCTGTGTGTGTGTTTGTGTATAATATCTGATTGCCTTTTCCAAACTTCAGAAAAAGTCTTGGACTCAATTCTTGATCTCTCATACTTTTTGCTCACAGTGTATTATACTGTGATATTTGAAAGGATGATTCTATAGCACTTTAAAACCCCAGATCAACAAAGAAAGATTAAATCGAGCTAATTAATTAAAGGCAGTATAGGTTTTAAAAAGATTTTTAGCTAGTTTTAAAGCATTTATAAGGTACTTCATACTGGCATATCTTAGACCAGCAGAGGGCAGATACTTACAGGTTTAGTGAGAAATTTTGTCTCTAGTATCCATTTGCAGCTGAGATTTGAGGAAGGTGAACATTTAGTTTTGTAGTTGTATTAAGAGTAAAGGAGCATGTTCTTTTTGTGAGGATTTATCTGTCATAGCAGGTTTATAATGAGCATCTGAATTAAATTCATGTCCTGCTTCACTTTCGCAATAAAAATGTCTGAGTTGACCTGTAGTGGTGTACACTGCTAGGATGCTACGCTCTCCATACTGAGACCACATGGGAGGCCTCAGTTTGATTTCCTGTCCAATCTAAAGGCTCGGTGTAGTGTCATCCACCTAAAATCTCAGCAGTTCAGGGAAGCTGAGGTAGGAGAATAGCTAGCTTGAGACTGGCCTGGGTGCCATAATGTGACCCTGTCTTTAAAAATAACAAATGAGGACCAACAGATTGTGTAATGGTTACGTAACTGGACTTGCACATAATCTGCTACGGTTCGAGTCCCGGACCTGGTGACATGAAACTCAGTCCAGGCACGTGTGTGTGCATGCCCAAAATCTTGAGAAGAGAAAGGAGGAGAAGGGATTGCAGCATGGCCATCCCTCCTGGGGGTGGGGGGAGGGATTTTTTTGTTTTCTGTCTCTGTGTCTCTATGTCTCTAGCAAGTACACACGCCCTACAACAAAAATCTTTATTAATTAAAAAAAAAAGTGTCCAAGGGCCAGCCCTGTAGTCTAGTGCTTAAGGGAAGCCAGATCCTACATAGTTGAATCCTGGCCTTGACAACCTAAAAAACATACTCAGTGTGCATGTTTCCCCCAGATCCTGATAGGATAGAGAAATGGAAGAGAAGGGATTGCAATATGACCAGCCCCCTTGTGGGTGGGATGAGGCATTTTGTCCCTCTCCCTCTGTCTTTCTCTGGCAAGCACACATACCCTCTGGCAATTATAGTCTTATATGGAGAATATTTGATATGTATGTAGGTTTTTTCTTTAAAACCTATAAATACAAAGTTCTCCAGTTTTATGCTAGAAAAAGAAAAGGATTTCTGTGATCACTTATAGAAAGCTGTTAAGTTCCTTACTAATACTTTATTGAAAGTTAAAAGTATGATTTTTTTTTTTCTTGCCCAGATATATCTTAAAATTTTCCAATAACTGAGATTTTTTTTTCCTTTGGTATTTCCTAGTAGTGTGTTGATGCCAGACACCTCAGATTCTAGGTTAGAATAACCTGTCAAAAGCACATTTACTGGGACCAGCAGATGGCTTAATGGTTATGTCACTGGACTCCCATGTAGTCAACCACAGTTCAAGTCCTGACCTGGTGTCTTGAACTCTTGCCAGGCGTGTGCGCATGCGTGCCTAAGATCTGAGAGGAGAATGGAGGAGAAGGGACTGTGGCATGGCCATCCCCCCTGGGGGGGTGATTTCTTGCTTTCTGTCTCTGTCCCTCTCTGTCTTTCCCGGAGCACTCGTACCCTATAGCAAAAACCTCTCTTCAATAACAAAGCAAAACAAAAAAGCACTTTGTACTCAGCTGGATGGGTTATTTGCCCTTTTGCCATAGATAATGGAAGAATAAACCTGAAGGCTAAACCTAACCTAGTATTGCACATGTTCTCATATAGCTTACCCTTCAGCTACTTCTACCATTCAGCCCATTTATTTATTTATTTATTTATTTTTGGAGAGGTTTTCGCTATAGGGCGTGTGTGCTCGCCAGACAGACAGACAGACTGAGACATAGAGACAGAAAGCGAGAAATCACCCCCCGGGGGGGATGGTCACGCCGCAATCCCTTCTCCTCCATTCCCCTCTCGGGATCTTGGGCACGCACCCAAACGCACCCGGCGTGAGTTTTAAGCCACCGGGTCTGGGACACGAACCACGGTCGACTACGTGGGAGTCCAGCGACATAGCCACCACGCTAACTGCTGGTTCCCTCCATTCAGCCCATTTAAAGCACTCGATTAAAAAGACTGCTGTATCTCAGATAAGCTTTCAGTACGTCTTAACCAGAATTCAGATAATTCTTTTTGCTAATTTTTACCTATATTGGAACAAATGCTTGAAGATCTACTCTGTTCAAAGCACTATAAGGTCTAATGAGGAAAGAATAAGATAGGAAATTTACCCTCAAGAGGCTTGTCTAAGAGGAAGTTAGAACTTTGCATTATGCGATGGTAAAAGCCCTTTTCTTGGGGTTGCTGGAGAGAGTCTAACGTCATTTTACTACAAGAATGGACAATAAATGGATTCTTTTCCTTAAGAATGTTTTATCACAATTTTCTCACTTGATATGGCCAGCACCACACCAGATATTAAGACTAAGTCCATGGGGCTGGGTCTAACGTAAAAGCCTTTTTCTAAAGGGTGTTCTTTATTTTCAGTTCCCTTTTATTGTTGAGTAAAACTTGACCATTTGTTCCAATAATCAGTGCAGTGATTAATCTTGTTAGAATATATGTATTGTTTATGCTGGACATGTGGCAGCACCCAAGATCCTGAGGAGCTGGAGAGCTAGGGAATGGGGTTGTGCTATGACAAGATTGTACACATGCTCTCTCTGTTTCTCGTGTATATGTACACTGTCATAAAAAAATAAAATGACATTTAAACACCAGAAATAGTAAGAACCAAGTAATTTGTTGTTTTTTGTTGTAGTGGCTATCTTCAATGGACACCAGAACTCTACCTTTTATGTAAAATCTAGTCTTAGTCCAGATGACCAGTTTTTAATCAGTGGTTCAAGTGATGAAGCTGCCTACATCTGGAAGGTAAGATGCCAAACCTACCCCCACAATATGAAACTGAAGCATTCTTGCAAACAGGTTATGAAGAACCTGAGGATTCAGAAAGGACTAAGAACCTTAGCTACTTTATCCTACTTCCTGGAAAACACACTGTACTGCCTGTCTGCTCTGTGTTCTAACTGATTCGATACATCATTTTGATCCCTAGGGACTTATGCTTAAATCATCTGTAGAGCCTTGCACAAAAAAAAAAAAAAATTACACAAAAATATTTGTGTATGGGGCTGGCAGGCAATGTGGTGTGGTTAAGGCATTTGACTCCAACATGGTAGACTGGTTCAACTCCCAGACCTGGTGGCTTACTTTTTCACTTTCTCTTTCTCTCTCTTTCTCCCTCTTTTTCTGATCAAATTTTATATGTGTGTGTATGTGTGTGTGTGTGTGTGTGTGTGTGTGTGTGTGTGTGATTATATTCTTTATTCTTTCTTGCAAGTAGCCAGTCTTCAGGCTACTTGAATAGATGTGGCTGCTTTATCAGTGTTTTATATGTTTAATAATGATATTTAATTTTTTTATTTTATAGATTTCTCTTTGTTATTCTAATTTATATGTATACATACAGATATATAGATATAGATTTTACTTTCTAAATAACAATAATTCTAAAGTAACTACCATAAGCTAAGAAATTCAGAGTATATAAAGTCCAGTGGAGAAAACTGAAATGTTATACCAGTAGCACTTAGTGATTACTGAAAAATGTCTTTGTTGGAAATAATTTATGAAAATGGTCTGGTAGTTTGGAGAAAGATCACCTAGGGCTAAAATTAGTTATATTCTGTATTTCCTTTTAACTTCATAATTGTCTTTGATGGTGAATTGTATGATCAGAGTTTGTATATTTTGGGTTTTAGAGTCATAATGTCTAAAACTTTATTGATCTGTAGTTTTTACATTAAATCCCTTCTAAAGAGAATATTATGTTGTTAGTCCTGCCAGGAGTTAGTAAATCATGTCATTGATGTCTTAGGACAGGGCGGAACCTGTCTGGTATGAAGCATAATTCTTTAGTTTAATTTCATCTAGTCCTGAGGGAAGTATGAAAAAGGGATTTCTGTGTACCTAAAATTAAAAATGCAACACTCCCTTCTTAAAAACTTTTAGTAACAATATCCTAAATGGGCACAAGGTGGAGATATTGTATTATCCAGGATGCTTTGATGATGGACCTGTCTCTTTCTACAAGCATATTTCTGTCTTTTTTAATGAAAATGTGTTTATGAAATATGTACTCGAGACATAGCTCATGATGAGTTTTTAACTTGGCTTCCTGTCTATATATTCTTATTTGAGATTTAAACTTGAACAGTGTTCATTACTAGCAGCTAAGGCTTCTGTCTTAAATGTTAAATTTTGTTTTTCATATTTTACCTTATGCTTATTTTACTATCTTTTTTTTCCCTCTTCCCTCACTGTCTTACCTACATTCCTTTCTCTACTTTGGCTTCCAACTTAACTAGAGGATTTATATTCCTACCACAGGTCTGTATGTTTTTAAGTTTTTCTTCTAAAAACAAAAACAAAAACAAAAAAACCTGGAATTTTAGACCAATAACCAAAAAGCGTAATAAAGGTTTATGTAAAAACTTACATATTGCTCATTCTTTTTAAGTTATTGGAGATCAGCATTTTACTTATATGTATATGTAATAAATGTATATAATTATATATTGTATGTGTGTGTATGTACACACATAATTTTTTTGGCTAATCCTTGAAGTTTCATTATCCCTCTGCTCTAACACAAAGGCATTTTAAAAATTTTGTTTCAGGGAATAAGAATTCAGGGGGCACTTTGTCCCTTTAAAGAAACACAGTAAAGTCACTTGGCTGTTAATTTGTGACCCATTTTCAGATATCCAATCAGTGGCCACCACATCCATGGGAGGCCCTTTTTGAATTCCTAGACTGGGTCACATGTCAGTGTTGAATGACGTGGTTCAGACATGATGTTCTGCCTTTCCACACATAACTCAGTGTACAGGCTCTGATATTTGAGACCCTGGCAAACTGCTGCTCCTAAAATTGAATTTGCCTAGGGGAGTGGCTCAGTTTCTCTTTTCCATGGTAAAGGGTGGGAGGGGTGGGTAATGTTTTATAAAGGCAATTCCATGCAAGCTAAATATCTAAACCATTATTAGGTTGTCTAAGAAGTCACAATATTTGTAACTGTTGGGATTTTTTTATTCTGCAAACACCATGGGCATAAAACAGTAAAAGAAGGGAGTTCTGTACCTTACAGAAGAGAACAGCCTTTGAATCCTCACTACTACCTAGCAAAGGGGAGATGTAAAAATTTAGATTCTCTAATATGGAGGCCCAAACGTAAAAGTATTTAATACTATGTTTTTTTAAATTTCCTGCTTGTTGTACCGCCCCCACGCTTATTCCCTCTTCCCTGGTTTGTTTCTGATATAGCCACTGAATAGAATTGAAGTGGTTATAAATAAACTGATTTGGCACAGTCATTTACTGCTGACTGGCAAACATTGAGCTTGACACTTTAGGAAGTGTAAATGATCTCATGACAAGTAAAGATTAGATTTGGTTTCCAACTGGGCAGAATAAGGAGATTTTGTGAGGAAAAGTGCAGATCTGTTTTGCATAGTTAAGTACTCAAAATGCTTTAGGAAGGGTATAAGATAGAGCCATTTACTTCTAGAAGTACTGTCCTAGTTCTGAGAGTTTAGACTTTGGGAATCTATATGCCTTGAATTAAAGTCTTTATTTTATCAAAAGTAGACATGCAAGAGGACAGTTTTCTGTATTTGATCACTCCCAAAATATATAGCTATAAATGTTTCTTGAACTTAATAGTCTCCTCCCTGCTTAGAAAGGGAGGCTTTTAAAAACTGAGATAATATAATTATGGCAATGTTTTGCAACAATGAAATGACAATAAATAAAAACTTATTTGAATGAAAATGAAGGATCAAAACCCATCTAGGTTTCATTACAGGAAAATATAGTAATTTTCTCTAGGATAGTCCAAAAGCCAAATAACTCATTAAAGTTTATAAAATCTTGTTAGACATTAGTTTCTCATTTCAGCTTATAATATGCCTTTCCCAACACATTTTTAAAATTGAGATACCACTTGTATAACATAAAATTCCTATTTAGTAATCTTAAAATGTATAGTTAAATGGTTTTTAATATAATCACAATGTTGTATAACCATCACGATCTAATTCCCAAATACTCATTATACCAAAAAGAAATCTCATATTTTTTAACATTCATTCCTCATTCCCTCTCCCTCTAATAGCCATTAACCTGTATTCTCTGTCTAGATTGCCAATTCTGGACATTTCATTAAAAATGGAGTCATACAGTATGTGGCATTTTGTGTCTTCTTTCACGTAGCATAAAATGTTATCAGGTTTCATCCATATTGTAGCATTTACCAGTATTTCGTCCCTTTTTGTGGTTGAATTATACTCCATTGTATGGATAGACCATACTTTGTTTATCGGTTTATCAATCAATGGACATTTGAATTGTGTTTATTTTTTGATTTTATGAACATAAGCATTTGTGTTTAAGTTTTTGTTCGAACATATATGTTCAACTTTCCTGGAATATATACCTAAGAATTTCTCAGTGATAATGATAATTAATTCTATGTTTAACTTGTTGAGGAACCTTCCTACCACTTTCATTTTTTTTAATTGCCAGAGGGCAGTTGCCAGAGAGTGAAATGGGGGAGAGCACCCCTCAATGGGGTATGGTCATCCCACAATCCTTTTGCCTCTATTTCTCCATTCCTTTGGGATCTAGAACACACGTGCACACATACCTGACTTGCTTTTCAAGCCACTGAGGATTCTAACTGTAGTCAGCCATGTGGGAGCCTTCTTTAACCACTGAGCCCATGCTACTAGGCTCAGCCTTTAGATAGAACTGGAAATTGAACCCTGGTCTCCCATGTAGTCGCATCCTTAGTCTAGAGAGCACAGCATCACCAGGGATAATAAGCCTTTTCTTCCTTTGAATTTGCTACCACCAGAATTTTGGGGGCCTTTGATGCAGAGAGACTTAAGGGATTGGGGCTATCCCAAGTGGAGAAAGAAGGAGAATTACTGGGATTATTGGTATAGTTAGAGATTATCTAAAAGCTCTTTTCTAAAATACATTACTTTGTAAAAGAATGAGTTGCCTGTGGTATTGTAGGAGTAGGCACTAAGTGAGATCTTTGTAGATATGGAAAAAAGCTTCCTTTTCTGTTAATTAACTCAGCAGTGCAAATTAGTTCGGCTCTTGTCTTGCTTTTTGAATCTTTGCATATGTGCCCCTTAGCCCAAGAGAAGAGTAGTAATAATTGAGTTGGGTAACCTTGTGAATCAACTGTCCGGGTAATCTTGTGAATCAACTGTCAAATCTCTGAACTACCATCTGAGAAATCTATTACATTTACTTACTCTTTCTCACAACTATCTTCCAGAGTCATCTCCACATTCTTTATGTAAAAGAGCCATGATTCAGTGCCTCAAGAAAATGAAGAGAAATAATTTCTCTCAGCCAAACTTCCTCACTCTTTTCAAATACACACGCTAATAATAGTTACTGAGTTTGTGCTCCTTTTCGTGCTGTTTAATTCCCATAGCCATGAAGGGGATTTAAATCTCTCGAATGAATCAGCTGTATGATGCTGTCAAATGCCTATCACTAGTGACACTCAGTGATGTGAAAATATGATTCTTACATGTACAGTACTGTATAATGTGACAGTGCTGTATTTTATTATACATTAAAATAATAGTAAAAGTTGATGAAGCTTACTTAAAAGTTTAAAACTTCTTTAAGCAAATTAACTGGAATAAAATTGTAGAGGAAAATATTTTTCCCCACAAAGAAAGGATTCCAAAGTGCCATGTAAAACATAGTTTATACCTCCTTCAAAATGGAGGTTATCCAGTTCAAAATGAAGGAGTATAATTTTGGATTTTAAAAGTCAGTGAGTCTTCATTTGTAACGGAGACTGTTTCTTGTCCCAAGAGAGCTAGTAGCATGTTTCAGGTATCTTCCGGATTCAGTTAGTATTCCTAGAAGTAGTGGAGTAGAGAAGATACCATAAAGTCTAGGCTATTTAAGAATGGGACTAAGTTGTCCACCTGAATGCACTACCTAGTAACTGAACTTCATTCTTCAAGAAAATTTACCAGCTAAATGCTATAGTGCTAGTCTTGAATTGTAGTCACAATATATGAAGCTAGAAAGTCCTGATTTGAAATAAGAATTGTCTGGCTGTCTAAGCTCATATTTTTTCAGCTGTTTTCATTGTGTTTTGTCAAATCAGTGAGACTGTTTCATTGCCCCTGGGAACTCTTTCCTGAATTATTGGATCATCTGAAAATTCATGACATATCTTTCTGTTTTTCTATGCAAAAATGTTATGACTTTTCCAATGACCCGATATAACTAGGCATGTCTAAGGGCCTTTGAGATTCAAAGCCTATATCTAGGAGTCACATCACTGCTTTGCTGACTGGTTTCTTTCTTTTTGATTGGCTTAGGTCTCCACACCTTGGCAATCTCCTACTGTGCTCCTGGGTCATACTCAAGAAGTCACATCTGTGTGCTGGTGTCCTTCTGACTTCACAAAGGTTTGTGAAAAATTCTCCATAGTTGGTTTAAACACTGGATCACAGGTTTATAGATTTTTCCAAAGGTTTGTTTGAGAGTAATATAGACTTTAAATATAGATTTAAAGATCTAGAGACCATTTAGGATCTTTGTCAACATTACTCATACATACTCCGCTTTTCCTACCAATAGAAAACAATATTTTACACTTGTTAGTAAGGAATAAGGATGGATTTCTGGTTCACCAGAGTCATTCCCAAATAGAGAATTAAGGGGCTTTTGTTTGTTTGTTTTTTGAGAGGTTTTTGCTATAGGGTGCATGCGCTTGCCAGAAAGACAGTGAGAGACAGAGAGACAGAAAGTGGGAAATCACCACCCCCCCAAAGGGGATGGCCACACCGCAATCCCTTCTCCTCCATTCTCCTCTCAGGATCTTGGGCCCTCATGCACATGCACCCGGTGTGAGTTTAAGCCACCAAGTCCAGGACTTAAGCCATGGTCGACTATGTGGGAATCCAGCGACATAGCCATTATGCCAACTGCTGGTCCTGAGAATTACGTTTTTAACTTAAGTAAAATCTAAGGTGAAAAAAACAATCCAAGGTAAGGTACGAACTAGTCTTTTTTCTTTCTCCATGTTATCAATGTGATGTATTAGAAGTAACATCTTGAATGTTCTTCACAGCCCAATTTGAGTTTTGCTAATGACTAACAACATGGTTACTGGGAAGTCTTAATATGTTAGGTTATCTGTGATACAATTGTATAAGAAGTAGGTCTGAAATATTTTAGACACACTGGAAGAAAATATGCTTACTTTTAAATTTTTTTCTTAAAGTGAAGATGCTATGTGTTACATGGGACCAGCAGTTAGCGTAAGGGCTATATCGCTGGACTCCCATGTAGTCGACCATAGTTCGAGTCCTGGACCCAGTGGCTTAAACTCATGCCAGGTGTGTGTGTGTGCGTGCCCAAGATCCTGAAAGGAGAATAGAGGAGAAGAGATTGCGGCGTGGCCATTCCCCCTGGGGGATGATTTCTCGCTTTCTGTCTCTCTGTCTTTCTGTCAGATACACGTGCCCTATAGCAAAAAACCTCTCAAAAACAAACAAACAGAAAAAACCACACGCACAAAAAAACGATGTTATGTGATACTTTAAAGCAAAAAAAAAACTTAAAATGTGGAAAGACCAGAAACATTAATGAACTCCATGTATTTTTAGGAATTTTATATAATAACAACTTAAATTCTCCTTGTTCTCCTGACCCCCATTGCCTCTACTCTTTGGGTATATCTGGATTCAAGTAAAATGTTTTGAGGTTTTGTTGCATATTTTTCCCATCTATTTTTTATCTTCTAGAAACTTCTCCCAGTCTTTTTTTTTTTTTTTAGAGGTTTTTGCCGTAGAGAACCTTTGTTCTCCAGAGAGAGAGACAGAGACAGTGAGAGGGAAAGTGAAAAATCACCTCCCAAGGGACCAGCAGATGGCATGATGGTTACATCACTGGACTCTCACATAGTTGACTGTGGTTCAATAGTTGACTGTGTTTCAAGTCCTGGGCCTGGCGGCGTAAACTCATACCAGGCGCATGTGCGTGTATGCCTAAGATCTCAAAGGAAAATGGAAGAGAAGGGATTGTGTTATGGCTACCCTCTCCCCCAGGGGTTATTTCTTGCTTTCTGTCTCTGTCTCTCCATCAGGCTCACATACTCTATAGCAAAAACCTCTCTTCAAAAGAAAGAAATCACCTTCCAAGGGTGATGACCGCACTGTAATCCCTTCTCCGCCCAATGTCTTGGGCACACATGTACATGCACCTGGTGCAAATTTCAAGCCACCAGGTCCAGAACTGGAACCGTGATTGGCCATGTGGGAGTCACGCAATGTAACCTCTATGCCATCTGCTGGCCCCTTTCACAGTCTTTCTATTCATGTCATACCTGCTAGCTTCCTGGCACTGGTGTGGTTTTCTCTTAATTTTTATATTCTGTTACCATTTCTGTGTTCAGCTTTGTGGAGTCTTTCTTTTTTCTTTCCTTTTTAATTAATTAATTAATTTTTAGAGTTTACTATAGGACAAATAGTAAACCTATGTATTTACCTATATGTTTCCCTCTCTCTCACTAGAGGAGAGGGAAAGTGAGAAAACAAGCCACCAGGTCTGTGACTCAAACAACAATTGGCCACGTGGGAGTCCAGCATCCCCAACCACCAGGCCACCTGCTGGCCCAGCCTTTCTCTTCTTTTTCTTTTTTTTTTTTTATCGTTACTTGTATCATAACCAATTACATCCCAGTGACATTTTTTTTCACTTTGATTCCATGCTATTTCCAGTGAAATATCTACTTTTAATATGGAGTATATTATCAAATGGTTTTTATCATTCAGTTAATTACATCCTTTTTTTTCCGGCTATCATATTCTTATCTCCATGCATCTCAGCCATCATATGTTATCTTTATTTCCTATGAGGGCACACTCAAAGGAAATGGCTGGGCTGTTTGTCTATCCTCATCTAGTTACCTTTTTGAACATTTCTGAAATAATTTTGTCCCAAGTCTAGAGTTAGGGAGATAGAATATATTTCTTTCTTTTGTAATTTGACTTTTGAAATAGGAGAAACCTGGGTTTACATCCTAGCTTGGCCATTTAATTATAGTGACTTTGGGCAAATAACTTTGTTGTTTCCATTTTTCTGATGAAATTATTTGAGTACAAAACTTTATATTGTGAGAATTGAATATGAAGGAAAAGTGTTGGGACCAGCTAATGGCATAATGGTTGCATTGCTGGATTCCCATATAGTCGACCACGGTTCGAGTCCCTTACCCAGCAGCTTGAAACTCATGCTGGGCACATGTGCATACATACCCAGAATTTTGAGAGGAGCATAGAGGAGAAGGGATTGAGGTAAGGTACGAACTAGTCTTTTTTCTTTCTCCATGTTATCAATGTGATGTATTAGAAGTAACATCTTGAATGTTCTTCACAGCCCAATTTGAGTTTTGCTAATGACTAACAACATGGTTACTGGGAAGTCTTAATATGTTAGGTTATCTGTGATACAATTGTATAAGAAGTAGGTCTGAAATATTTTAGACACACTGGAAGAAAATATGCTTACTTTTAAATTTTTTTCTTAAAGTGAAGATGCTATGTGTTACATGGGACCAGCAGTTAGCGTAAGGGCTATATCGCTGGACTCCCATGTAGTCGACCATGGTTCGAGTCCTGGACCCAGTGGCTTAAACTCATGCCAGGTGTGTGTGTGTGCGTGCCCAAGATCCTGAAAGGAGAATAGAGGAGAAGAGATTGCGGCGTGGCCATTCCCCCTGGGGGATGATTTCTCGCTTTCTGTCTCTCTGTCTTTCTGTCAGATACACGTGCCCTATAGCAAAAAACCTCTCAAAAACAAACAAACAGAAAAAACCACACGCACAAAAAAACGATGTTATGTGATACTTTAAAGCAAAAAAAAAACTTAAAATGTGGAAAGACCAGAAACATTAATGAACTCCATGTATTTTTAGGAATTTTATATAATAACAACTTAAATTCTCCTTGTTCTCCTGACCCCCATTGCCTCTACTCTTTGGGTATATCTGGATTCAAGTAAAATGTTTTGAGGTTTTGTTGCATATTTTTCCCATCTATTTTTTATCTTCTAGAAACTTCTCCCAGTCTTTTTTTTTTTTTTTAGAGGTTTTTGCCGTAGAGAACCTTTGTTCTCCAGAGAGAGAGACAGAGACAGTGAGAGGGAAAGGGAAAGAGACAGAGACAGTGAGAGGGAAAGTGAAAAATCACCTCCCAAGGGACCAGCAGATGGCATGATGGTTACATCACTGGACTCTCACATAGTTGACTGTGGTTCAAGTCCTGGACCTGGCGGCGTAAACTCATACCAGGCGCATGTGCGTGTATGCCTAAGATCTCAAAGGAAAATGGAAGAGAAGGGATTGTGTTATGGCTACCCTCTCCCCCAGGGGTTATTTCTTGCTTTCTGTCTCTGTCTCTCCATCAGGCTCACATACTCTATAGCAAAAACCTCTCTTCAAAAGAAAGAAATCACCTTCCAAGGGTGATGACCGCACTGTAATCCCTTCTCCGCCCAATGTCTTGGGCACACATGTACATGCACCTGGTGCAAATTTCAAGCCACCAGGTCCAGAACTGGAACCGTGATTGGCCATGTGGGAGTCACGCAATGTAACCTCTATGCCATCTGCTGGCCCCTTTCACAGTCTTTCTATTCATGTCATACCTGCTAGCTTCCTGGCACTGGTGTGGTTTTCTCTTAATTTTTATATTCTGTTACCATTTCTGTGTTCAGCTTTGTGGAGTCTTTCTTTTTTCTTTCCTTTTTAATTAATTAATTAATTTTTAGAGTTTACTATAGGACAAATAGTAAACCTATGTATTTACCTATATGTTTCCCTCTCTCTCACTAGAGGAGAGGGAAAGTGAGAAAACAAGCCACCAGGTCTGTGACTCAAACAACAATTGGCCACGTGGGAGTCCAGCATCCCCAACCACCAGGCCACCTGCTGGCCCAGCCTTTCTCTTCTTTTTCTTTTTTTTTTTTTATCGTTACTTGTATCATAACCAATTACATCCCAGTGACATTTTTTTTCACTTTGATTCCATGCTATTTCCAGTGAAATATCTACTTTTAATATGGAGTATATTATCAAATGGTTTTTATCATTCAGTTAATTACATCCTTTTTTTTCCGGCTATCATATTCTTATCTCCATGCATCTCAGCCATCATATGTTATCTTTATTTCCTATGAGGGCACACTCAAAGGAAATGGCTGGGCTGTTTGTCTATCCTCATCTAGTTACCTTTTTGAACATTTCTGAAATAATTTTGTCCCAAGTCTAGAGTTAGGGAGATAGAATATATTTCTTTCTTTTGTAATTTGACTTTTGAAATAGGAGAAACCTGGGTTTACATCCTAGCTTGGCCATTTAATTATAGTGACTTTGGGCAAATAACTTTGTTGTTTCCATTTTTCTGATGAAATTATTTGAGTACAAAACTTTATATTGTGAGAATTGAATATGAAGGAAAAGTGTTGGGACCAGCTAATGGCATAATGGTTGCATTGCTGGATTCCCATATAGTCGACCACGGTTCGAGTCCCTTACCCAGCAGCTTGAAACTCATGCTGGGCACATGTGCATACATACCCAGAATTTTGAGAGGAGCATAGAGGAGAAGGGATTGTGTGGCCATGCCCCCTGTGGGGGTGATTTCTTGCTTTCTGTCTCCCTGTCTCTGTTTATCTCTCTGGCAAGCACATGCACCCTGTAGGAAACAGCTTTCTTAAGGGACCAGCAGATGGTGTGATGGTTAGGGCTCTGGACTCCCACATGGCCAACAGCTGTCTTGAGTCCCAAACTTGGTGGCTTGCTTTCCCATTTTCCCTCTCTCTCTCTCTGTCTCTCTCTCTCTGATGACCACGTGCTCCTTATAGCAAATTTAAAAGAAATAATAAAGATTGGGACCAGCAATTGGCATAATGGCCTTGTTGCTAGACTCCTATGTTGTCAACTGCAGGAATTATATAATTATATAAACTGCAGTTGAGTCCTGGACCCGGTAGCTTAAACTCACGTCGGGCACATGTGCGTGCATGCCCAAGATCTCGAGAGGAGAATGGAGGAGAAAGGATTGCAATATGGCCATCCTCCCTGGGGGGTGATTTCTCTCTTTCTATCTCTCTGTGTCTCTCTGCCTTTCTAGCAAGCACACACACCCTATAGCAAAAACCTCTCCCAAAAAAAGAAAAAAAAAGAAAGAATAAAAATAAAGTTTAAAAAATATAAATAAAAGTGTAAGTTGCCAGACATACAGTAGGTGCCCTGTAAATGATAAATGTTGCTAATAGGTTGCAGAGTGACTGTGGATTCCAAGCATTTCTTGTTGAGTAGTTAAGTGTATGTATCTTCTTCTGGCCTCCCAGTAAGGAAAGGAAAAAGCTACCAGTCTCTTGGGGGCCAAGACTTAAGAGAATGTGTGTTCTCTTTTTCTTTCTCTTAGTGACTGAAATAGAGAAATTATATAAACAAATGCAAGGGAACAGCTCTGGTACCAGTGGCCATTTGCCACAAGTTCTTCAAGCTGGACTTTCTCTGCCATAAAAGGCTTGGGACCAAGATCAGAAATGGTCAGATATTTTTAAAGGGGCAAAGGTTATTTTTAGCTTCCTTCAGTCTAGTGAAGTTGTTTTCCCAGATTGCCCCTCTACCTATCTGAAAAAGAATCTCAAAGGAATGGTTTCATTGTATTTGTCTTGGGCTACTACTGTCATGGACTAAGCTTGATCTTGGAAATGATCCCATTTCTTTAGCAATAGGAATATAAAATTCAGAAGAAAATTGTAGGAATTGAATGTTGATGACATACGCAGATTGATCATTTAGCAGAAAGAGTTAAAAGGGGATCTTAATTACATTTTGGAAGCTATATAGAAAGTGATAAAGATAATGGCTTATCCAGGTTTTTGAGAAAACCAAAAGCAATGAACCTGGTATTATAGTTGAACTTTAGGTTAGGCAAGAATTAACTGGCAGTGAAAGAATGAAAGACATGTCAGCAGTATGTGTGTAAAGAAATAAAAAAATCAGCTTTGGAAATCTGGGATGATTCCTGAAAGAAAGGAATAGAAGACTATGATCTTTCAGATAGCAATTTTTTGGGGGAGAGGTTTTTGCTATAGGATGTGTGTGCTCACCTGACACACAGAGGGACAGACAGAAAGCGAGAAATCACCCCCGGGGGGTTGGCCATGCCGCAATCCCTTCTCCTCCATTCTCCGCTCGGGATCTTGGGCATGCATGCACATGCACCCGGCGTGAGTTTTAAGCCCCCGGGTCCGGGACTTGAACCGCAGCCGACTACATGGGAGGCCAGCGACATAGCCATTACGTTAACTGCTGGTCCCTCAGATAGCATTTTTTATATCCTATTATAGCAGATAAAATAATTCTCTAGTTTTTAGCCTTTATGACATACATATTTTTTTTTCTTTTTTAATAGAGATTTTTGCTTTAGGGTGTATGCTTTTGCCAGAGAGACAGAAGGCAAGAAATCACCCCTCCAGGGGGGTAGCCACACAGCAATCCATTCTCCTGGGATTTAGGGTACACACATACACATACACACACACACACACACACACACACACGTGCCCAGTGTGAGTTTTAAGCCACCAGATCCAGGACTTGAACTGTGGAGTACTACATGGGAGTCTAGCAACATAACCATGATGCCATCTGCTGGTCCCAGGACAAACCTGTTTTTCACCTTGTTGTGACTCTTTGAAACTTAACTCCCATGCTGATTCTCCATCTTCAGATTGCTACCTGCTCTGATGACAATACACTAAAAGTCTGGCGCTTGAATAGAGGACTAGAGGAGAAATCAGGAGGAGATAAACTTTCCATGGTGGGTTGGGCCTCTCAGAAGAAGAAAGAGATGAGAGCTGGCCCAGGTAAGGATATTGTTTATTTTCTAAGTTTTTTTATGGCTTGATTGGTTTAGTACAATGCATAGTGGTAAACTAGATTTGTTCTTGTTTTGAGGTATTTTTAAGAAAAGCACCATCTTCTTGGTCTTTTCAGTGCATATTTTCTGATCACTGCTATGTTTATCACATGCAAAAGGCACTGGAATACAGTTGTGGCTTTGTTCAACAGGTACTTGTTGAATACTCAGTGTGTGTTAGGCACTATTCTTAGTTGCTGGAGATCCAGCAATGAACAAAAAAATTGAGAGTCCCAAAGTTGTTAATAGAGTTTTCACATTAGTAAATAATTTTATTTACTTATTGCTAGCTTGTTTAGCAATATAACAGGTAAGTAAAATTAAGTACTATGTCAAGTAACAAATACTTAGGACAAAAAGGAAAACAGGAACAAATGATGAAGTGTGCTGTTACAAAATATTAGGTGGTCAGAGAGGCCTCAATGAAAGGATGACATGTGGAACAGCTGATGGAATGATAGTTGAAGTAGCTTGATCCCACATGGCTGACTTAGTTTGAGTCCCAAACCCAGCAGCTTGAAAAACATACTGGGTGTATGTGCATGTATGCCCAAAATCTCGAAAGGAGAAATGGAAGGAATGGGGTTGCAGGGTGATCATCCCCCACAAAGGGTGCCTTCTCACTTTTCTTTTTGTGTCTCTGGCGAGCACACATGCCCTCTAACAAATTTTAAAAAAGAAGAATATTTAAGTTAACAAAGTGAAGTGTAGTGAGTGTTTGAAGACAAATATTTCAGGCAAAGTAGCAAATACAAAGGAACAGACATGGCATATTTTCTTTTCCTCAAAGAGACTAATGTGGCCCTAGCCCCTATGGCTGAAGCAGCCAAAGGAGAGGGAAAGGAGAAATAGTGGTAGAAAATGAAATTCTTATAGGACTTTATCTTTTATTCTGACAGACAAAAAGCCACCAGAAGGTTTTGAGCAAAGGAGTATCATGATCTGACTTTTAACTTGATTATTCTTTCTCTAGTATAGATAATGAATTATAAGAGAACCAGGTTAAGAGTAGGAAGCCAGTTTTAGAAGCCATCATCTAGGAGATGATGATGGCATGGACCAGAATGGTAGCAGAAGATATAAAAAGTCATAAGGTTCTGGATGTTTTCATAAACTGATGCTGACAGGATATGCAGAGGGATTAGATGTGAGATGTAAGAGAAAATTATCAAGGGTGACTTCAGAAGTTTTGCTTGAAAAGCTAGAAGGATTACATTTCATTGACCTAGACTAGCAATCCCTATAAGAGGAGCAGGATTGGGAGGCTGTAATTCCCTTTGATTATGTTGTTTGTGATTATGTGATTATGTACCTCTAGACATCCCAATGGGATATCAGTAAGGCAATTAGATGTTTAACTCTACAATTTAAAATGAGAGTTGTAAATTTGGGATTTAATATCATATAGGTAAAGATAGATATAGATAGAAAGGTGATAGAATTGGGATCTGAGCCATGAGGCATCCTGATCTTTAGTTTTGAAGAGGTCACAAATACAAAAGTCACTGAGCAGATACAACCAGAGAAGTAAGAGAAAAATCAGGAGAGTATCATGTCCTGCAGTCCAAGAAATAAAGGAGGAAAGAGGGATAAATTTGATCAGATGTTTCTGGCATGCCAAATAAGATGAAACCTAAAAACTGACTGTTGGGTTTGGCAATATGGGAGTTATTTGGCAAATTTAATGAGAGCAGTTTTAGTGGAGTAATGGTGGCCTGATTGATGATGTTTAGGAAAATGGGAAAAAACTTGGAACCTGTAAGTGTAGACAGCTCTTTCAAAGAGTTTTGATATGAAAGAAAAGAGAAATTTGAAATGGTAGTTGAAGGAAGAAGCAGTGTTGAAAGCTCAGTAGGTTTTTGTTTTGTTTTATTCTTTTTGTTTGTTTGAATAGTAACAGTATTTTGTATGTGGACTAGAAGGATTCCATAGAGAGAGAGAAGATTGTTGAAACAATGTCCTTGAGTAACTGTGAGGGAGATACTGTCTAAATACACAAGTAAAAAGGTAGGCCTTTGCTAGGAGTGTGAAGAGATGATTCACAGAGACTGGACAAAAGAAAGAATATGTGTGTGTGTGTGTGTGTGTGTACATATATATATATACACATATGTATATATAAAGCATGGTACGATAGGTGGAGAGCTGAGATGGTTGGAACTTAAGGAAGTTTTCTTCAGTTCTTTTTTAAAATAGAATTTTTTTTAGAGATTTTTTTGCTATAGGGTGCATGGACTCACCAGAGACAGAGAGAGACAGAAAGCGAGAATTCACCCCCACAGGAGGGATGTCCACGCCGCAATCCCTTCTCTAGTCTCCTCTTGCGATTTTGGGCACACATGCACATGCACCCAACATGAGTTTCAAGCCACTGGGTCCAGGATTCGAACCTTGGTCAGCCACGTGAGAGTCCAGCAACATAACCATTACACCATCTGTTGGTCCCAAAGTTTCCTTCAGTTCTGATGGCCTTATCTTCTCATCAAAGTAGGAATCAGGGTCATCAACTAAGAATAAGGATAACTGGTAGAGATTTCAGAAGAGCTAGGAAAGTCTGAAATGGTCATTTAGAAAAGAGTAAATGGACCAAGGAAATATGTTTGTTGGGCAGTCAGAGTCAACTTATGGCTATCAGTCATTAATAGAAAGTGAGTGCTCAGTGTGATTATGTGTTTGATATGCAGCTACAGGTGCACTACAGGTGAAGGGTTGGATTTAGTTAGCCATGCACATCTTTTAGCAAAGCAAGTATGAGGATGTGAACAAAGAACTTGAGAGTGGGTGGAAGTGGGTGCAAGAGGGTGATTGTAGTGACTGACTATAGGATTTAACCTGGCTAAAGAGGGAAGTGAGGACATAGAGGGACAGAGGGACATTGAAAAAGGAATACTATCAGTGTAAATGAGGGCCCTCTAGGGATGAAAAGTGTTGGAATTGGAATACTAAAGGAATAAATCACTGGCGAGCAGAGTAGGATGATTGAAATTAAAATAATGGAAGATTTTTCAGGCATGGGTAATAAATATAAGGAATAAGTGATTTAGATGACTAAAAGGACACAATTATTGTAGACCATCAAGCACCTGAGAAACCAATATATGGAGAAGATCATGCATACAGATTTTGTAATCAGCACAAATTGACGGTTAGTGTCAAAGAGTAATAACACACAAATAGCAAAAGTCTTCAGGCACTGAACCAATCAAATGGGATCTTCGTGTTATTAGTACATACACAGTAATATGCTTGAAGTTCAATTTAAAGATTCATTTATTTAAGTTATCAAGACCTAAATGAAGAATCATATGAGGAAAAAGCCATGGTATTTTTCTCCCTCACACATAATTTTATAACACTTCTGTTTATTTTTTTGAGATTTTTTTTTCCCCTTTATGCATAGAGATTTTTTAAAAACAGGATTATAGATATACTATATATACATTTTGATTTCTTGGAGCTTTTTTTAAAAGCCAAACTTGTGACTGATAGCCACAAGTTGACTCTGACTGCCCAACAAATATATTTCCTTGGTCCATTTACTCTTTTCTAAATGACCATTTCAGACTTTCCTAGCTCTTCTGAAATCTCTACCAGTTATCCTTATTCTTAGTTGATGACCCTGATTCCTACTTTGATGAGAAAATAAGACCATCAGAACTGAAGGAAACTTTGGGACCAACAGATGGCGTAATGGTTATGTTGCTGGACTCTCACGTGACTGACCATGGTTTGAATCCTGGACCCAGTGGCTTGAAACTCATGTTGGGTGCATGTGCATGTGTGCCCAAAATCGCAAGAGGAGACTAGAGAAGGGATTGCGGCGTGGACATCCCTCCTATGGGGGTGAATTCTCACTTTCTGTCTCTCTCTGTCTCTGGTGAGTCCATGCACCCACCCTATAGCAAAAAAAAATCTCTAAAAAAAATTCTATTTTAAAAAAGAACTGAAGAAAACTTCCTTAAGTTCCAACCATATATATATTTTTTTCTTTCTTTCTTTTGTCCAGTCTCTGAATCATCTGTTCACGCTCCTAGCAAAGACCTACCTTTTTACTTGTGTATTTAGACAGTATCTCCCTCACAGTTACTCAAGGACATTGTTTCAACAATCTTCTCTCTCTCTATGGAATCCTTCTAGTCCACATACAAAATACTGTTACTATTCAAACAAACAAAAAGAATAAAACAAAACAAAAACCTACCAAGCTTTCAACACTTCTTCCTTCAACTACCATTTCAAATTTCTCTTTTAAAAAGCATTAAGTGCTTTTTATGTTATTTATTTTTGCAACACTATTTAAAATTTTCCACTTAGTAAATATTTCATAGTTTCCCTAGCTATTCTATTATCGTTAGACAGTTTACTTCCAATATTTTGTTGAAAATTGGGTTTCTCTCCGAGTTTAGAAAACTCCCCCACTTCCCAGAGGTGTACTTACTGGATCTTCTAGGTTGATAACCGCATTTCCTATTTCAATGAGAAAGTAAAGCCATCAGAACTGAAGGAAACTTCCTATAATATGGCTATAATCATTTTTAAAATTTGGAATCAATAGTGTCTCTTCTTTAACCTAGACATTTTTAGTGTGTCATTAATTATTAAGTTTCAGAAGCCACGTCATCAAAAAAGTTGTACATATTGACCAAATTTGGACCATAATAACAACAACATTTGCTGTTATTGAGTTCTCGCATAATAGTTCTCAGAACCATTTAATTTTCCAGGTAATAACTGAAACTGAAAATTGAGGAAGATAGACTTTTCTAAGATCACATAGCTGTGAAACTAGTAGAACTAGAGTTCAAACCCTTGCAGTGATTCTAGGGCACGTGCTTAGAACCACTCTGCTGTACTGCCTCCTTTAGGTCTTAACAGAGTAAAGCAAAGTTCAAGGTAAAACCAGACCAGGAGTTATGTCAAGATTTCTCCATTTCTGGCTAATGCTAGGATTATTCTGAAGAGCACTACAGAGCAACACCCTATTTGGATACCAAAGGCTGTCACACTGGCCATTTGGCACTTTATACCAGCTTCCAGCAATAGATTGGCTACTCCTAACCACCACTGCCCTTCTGAAAATTGTTTCTCTTTATATTCTAATTACCACTTCAACCTTTTATTGCTGTCCTGGGCTCTGTATCTTCTCTTCTGGCCCCTTTAATACACATTAACTAGAAGGTTTTAAGTGCCAAGGCACTGCATCTTTTTCTATCTGCCCTACTTTTTCTACCCTGCACCTGCTCTATCTCTTACTTAACTATTCTTTCACTGTTTCAGCCAGCGATCTCGTTAGGGTGGTTGAGGGCACTGGCCCTCAGTCTTGGCTGTGTATCAGTATGCTTGTGGAGCTTTTACAAAGTTTGCATGTCCCCAGTGATTATTTCAGGAGGCCTAGGGTGGTGGCCAAGTACCTGTATTTTTATAAAGCTCCAGGTAAGCCTGTTATGCAGCCAGGATTAAGAATCTCTGGTCTAGGCATTATTAAGTAAGAGAGATGATTATCCTTAACTTAAACAGGAGGAAACCATACCTGTTTTGTCCCTGATGCTTGCCTCAGTCTCACGAATCAGCAAGATAATTTTAGAATCAGTGTTCTGGTGCATAAAACCTCATCCTTATCCTTAGTAGTAATAAAATTTGACACATTGTTAGGCACCCTACTGATACTCAACCTAAAGATAAGTTAATCATTTCCTCCCTCTAAGTTCACAGTCTTTTCTGCTAACTACAGACAAATGCAAAAAAAAACCATAGTACATTGTAAACATTTCTCCTAACTATAAACAAAGCGCTCTGAGAACCCACTTCCTTTGGAAGAGGGAAGCTTTGTGGAAAAGGAGGAAAGAAATTTTGTGAATGCTACCCAGTGGATTTAACATTGTCATCAGAGTCTTGAAACATGAGAAGAATTTTTACTTGGTAAGGAAGAGACAGGCATGGCAAGAAAATCACATGAACAAAGAGAGAGATGTGACAGTGTCCAGCTTGTTCAAGAAGCAGCGGGTAATCTGTAACGGGATCCTAAAGTAGTATAGTACGTAAGAAGACTGAAAAGGCAGGGTGAGGCCTGATGGCAAACTTGTGTATAGAAAGAATCTACAAAATGACTTATTTATTAATAAACTTTCTATACTTTCTCAAAGGAATTGGCTTTCAGGAACCTTAAGGGCAGTAATTGATTAGGGTCAATAGGGGTTAGTCCACTTAAGTAGATAAAGTTCTAAATGGCCTCTCATATTTAAATTTATAGATCAGTATAGAGTGACATACTATGTATTTGGTCATTGGGAAAGTCATAGCGTATTTTTCTATGCTAAAATGCATCATGATTTTTCTGACAACCCAATACCTGTTAAAAAGAATGTGGTGCATCTGCATGTACTTAATATGAAGAGATGTAGAGAAAAAGATAAAAAAGCAAGTTGTAGAATTTCTATTATGTATATATTTAGAGAGAGATAAAGGCATAGAATAATCCACTAGTATTTTGGTTTTCATTAAAATATGATATACCTTCGAATCTGCCAATAGGCACAAACAAAATTATAGAATGCATAAGAAACATAAGAGTGAAATGAAAAGGTTGAAAGAAAATGTTTCACTTTTTCCTTCTTCCCTCCTGTACTGCTTGAAATTCTTTTTACCATGAACTTGCATTATTTATATAACCTAGTTACTATTTTTTTGTTTTCTTTTTAACTGAGATTTAAATTTGACCCAGAGTTTTGCTAACCTTCAAAATTAACAAAATTTTTTATCTGACCTATGGTCCACTCCCTCCATCATAACATCCTAAAGAAAGAGAAGATGCCCCGACTTAGTAAATGCCCCCACCATATGCCATGCAAATATCAGAAACAGATGTGCAAGTTGTCCCTGGCCCTGCTCTTTTCCCCTAATCCTGCCTTAGAATTGGTGTGTTGTAAAGCCCGTACATTAGAATTTTCTGCACTAAATGTACACTTTGAACCACTTAAGTGGGCCAAATGGTTGTGATTGTTCTGGGAAGTGCAGCAAATGAAAGCTTCCTGTAGTCCTAAAATGATAACTGTAATCAAACTCTAGAGCATGAGTGTAAGAACTGTCACCAAGTGTTTGTTCCATGGACAGGTCTGTATTATAAGTCCTTTTCATAGCACAGTACAACCAAATGCCATTTTCCAGAAATGATCTTTATTGAAGAAATAATATCATTTTGGCTGCTTCCAAACATTTATTGATGAGAATAATTTAGACAAAAGTCAATTTGTAGAGTTTTCTGTCTCAAGGCAAAAAACACAGCATGAAAAGGATGACATTTTTTTTCTTTTTTTATTTCTATATAATCACTGTACATTTTTACATTGTACAACATGGCTTTTCCCAGTATGAATACAGTGTGTATTAGTCAAGTCAAAGACATTGTCATATACATTATCATCAACAGATATCTTTTCATTTCTGTCAAATGTCGGGATCTCTGTTGTTTTTTTATGGCTGAGTAGTATTCCATAGATTACATATCCCACATTTTTTTCAATCTACTCATTTGTTCTTAGAGATTTGGGTTCATTCCATGAAGGACGACATAATTAACTGACTAAGTATTTGCAAATACTAGAGTTGCATTTCAAAGATTTTGTGACTGAGGAATAAATATTTTTTCTTCTTATTTGAAGACAGAAGCTCTGTTTCAGAAATTTAGAAAGCTTAGAGAAAAATGAGAAAATATTGTGTTATCTGTGTTGGATCCTGAGTGGGATTAAGCATAAATTTATAAGAATTTCCTGAAGTATTTGCCATTGTGTGGATGAATGGATAAAGAAATATACGCAATGGAATACTATTCAGGATAAGGACACATAAGAGAAAAGTCCTGTTCACTAAGTTTGATTTACTTTACAGACATCAAGCATTGGGATTCTGAATGTTCTTTGCATTCTTTGGCTTGTAAAAAAAGTAGTTATTTGTGAATTAAGGTATAAAGTCATGTGATGCCTGATAACCTTAATAAATAATTGATAGGATGACTTCTTGTGAAGATGAAAACTATATTGATGTAACAGATAGGGAAACTGAGTCCGAGGAGGTGAAGGGTTGTGCTCAAGTCACATAGTAAGTGGCTATCCGAGTGTGAGACCTCTGTGTTCCTGTTCGAGAGACCAATGCAGTGTCTCTTTGCTCTAGCATTGCTCAAGAATATGTATAAGAACATAATGGCAACTTTACTTAGGTAGTTGAAATACATTGACAACCTGTCTTACTGTTTATAATCCTCTACCAAGGGGTCATTAAATATGTTAGAGAACACTTACCTATCTTAAAATATTTTGTAACTGTTTAAATAAATAATCATGGAAATCTGTATTAATATGGGAAGTATTTATGATATATTAAGCAGATTACTCGTGATTAAAATTGGACAAAGGGCATTTCTCAAAAGAATACAAACAAATGGACAATAAATATATTAAAAATGTTCAACATCACTAACCAAAATAATGCAAATTAAAACCACAATTAAATATCACCTCACATCTGTTTCAATGGCTTTTATGAAGAAAAAAAAAAGGTACAGGTATTGTTAAGAATGTAGAAAAGTGGAAACCCGAAAGTTTCTCCAAAAATGAAAAATAAGACCACCATATGACCCAGCAATTCTGCTTCTGGTTATGTATCCAAATAACTGATATCAGTATGGGAAGAGATACCTGTACTCCCATGTTTCCTGCGGCACTATTCACAATAGTCAAGATATGAAATCAACCTAAGTTTCTATCATTGGATGAACAGATAAATATATACAGTGGAATACCATTCAGCCTTTGAAAGAAAGAAAGAAAAAGAAAGAAAGAAAGAAAGAAAGAAAGAAAGAAAGAAAGAAAGAAAGAAAAAAGGAAATCCTGTCCTTTGCAACTATATGGAGGACATTATGCTTAGTGAAATTAACCAGGCTCAGAGAGACAAATACTGTGTGATCTCATTTACTTGTGGATAAATTGAGTTCATAGAAGCAGAGGGCAGAGGGTGGTTATGGAGAAAAGGCAGCAGTTGGGGAGACTCTGGTCAAATGATACTAAATTTCAGTTAGAAGGAATAATTCTGAAATCTGTTGTACAGCATGAGGACTATAATTAATGTACTGTATACTTGAAAATTGTTAGGAGAATGGACTTTAAATGTATTTATCCTCCCAAAATAAGTATGGCAATAGATATATTAGTTAGACTTACTCATTCGACAGTGTATATATATATTTATTAAAATACATCATATCCCATAAATATATACAATAAAAAATAAATTTTTGAAATTAAAAAAGGTCACTGAATAGTATTTACATGATAGTCTCATTTTTGTATAGAAAAAATTTTATAAATATCACATGCACGAATTAGAAAAAAATGCTGAAGTGGTTTACCTGGATGCTTTAAATTTTTCTTTTTGTATTTTTAAGATTGTTTACAATGGAGTAGTGGGAGACTGGAAACAGTCTAATTCTAATAAGGAGTGGTAGGAATCACATGATTTGTATAAGTTACTTACTGACAAATCACCCTTGCATGCTAAGTTATAATTTTCCTTGATAAGCACTTAGGAACTTTTTATGGCTTTCACATCTGATTTTCATGATCCTCTCTTCTTTTTCAGTAACACTAACGAGTAGCCAGAGTACGCCTGCCAAAGCCCCCAGGGTAAAGAGCAGCCCATCCATTTCCTCCCCATCATCTGCAGCTTGCACTCCAAGCTGTGCTGGAGACCTTCCTCTTCCTTCAAATACTCCTACATTCTCTATTAAAACTCCTCCTGCCAAGTCCCGGTCTCCTATCAACCGAAGAGGCTCTGCCTCCTCTGCCTCTCCCAAGCCACCTTCATCTTTCAAAATGTCAATTAAAAACTGGGTGACCCTAACACCTTCCTCATCACCACCTGTCACTCCTCCTGCTTCTGAAACCAAGATCATGTCTCCAAGAAAAGCCCTCATTCCTGTGAGCCAGAAGTCATCCCAAACAGAGGCTTCCTCTGAGTCTAGAAACAGAGTAAAGAGGAGGCTAGACTCAAGCTGTCTAGAGAATGTAAAACAAAAGTGTGTGAAGAGCTGCAACTGTGTGACTGAGCTTGATGGCCAAGTTGAAAATCTTCATTTGGATCTGTGCTGCATTGCTAGTAACCAAGAAGACCTTAGTAAGGACTCCCTGGGTCCTACCAAATCAAGCAAGATTGAAGGAGCTAGTACTAGTATCTCGGAGCCTCCTTCTCCTGTTAGTCCTTATGCTTCAGAAAGCTGTGGAACACTACCTCTTCCTTTGAGACCATGTGGAGAAGAGTCTGAAGTGGTAGGCAAGGAGAATAGCTCCCCAGAAAATAAGAACTGGTTATTGGCCATGGCAGCCAAATGGAAGTCTGAGAATTTATCTCCACGGAGTCCAACACCCCAGACACCCAATTCCAGGAGACAGAGCGGAAAGACATCACCAGGCCCGGTAAGTTGGCAGTGGTAGGAAGACACATTTTCTGGCTTGAAGGAGACTAGTGGGAAAATGGCTATGTAACTTGAAGGGGGCCAGGAACATGGATTTCTTCTCAAGACGGAATACTTAAAAAAATAAAATAAATTATTTATTTCTAGGGTTTCCAAATTTAGCACACAAAATAGGACAGTTTTTTACTGGACATATTTTTATACTAAAAATTTATTTGTTGTTTGTCTGAAAATCAAATATAAGTGGATGTGCTGTATTTTATTTAGCAAACATATTTACTCTCATTAAAATCCCTCCTGTCAAGGCCTATAAGCCCTGTTGTCTGATTTGCTAAAGCCTTCTTCAGGCTAGAGGATATCAATTTAGAAATATATCCCCTCTTGTTAGATAGTATGCCATCTTTTTATAGATAAAACTGTTGTTCATGGGAAAATTGCCAACATCCATAAGTAGATTTCCAGTTTATAATTACACTTTGTGATTATTTAAAATACAGTGAAACTTAGATAATTAACAAAGCAATCGAAGGGCAGAATCTTTGTAGATTTTTATGATTTCCATCAATATCATAATATTTAAATTAGATAATGTCAATAACATATTGCTGGCCAAAATAGGTTTGTGAACCTTGGAAAGCTATGACTCGTAACTGTGAAGTCAGAAGTAGCTATGCTTAAGGCATCGAGTGAGCTATGGGCACCAGTCAAAGAGAAGAGAATACTTCTGTTGACCAATTTGTAGGTGAAGAGATAGGTTTAGGGATCCAGCAATTAGCATAATGGCTATGTCGCTGGACCCCCACGTAGTCGACCACGGTTCGCGTCCCGGACCCGGTAGCTTAAAACTCACGCCAGGCACGTGTGTGTGCGTGCCCAAGATCCCGAGAGGAGAATGGAGGAGAAGGGATTGCGGCGTGACCATCCCCCCTGGGAGGTGATTTCTCGCTTTCTATCTCTATGTCTCTCTGTCTGTCTGGCGAGCGCACGCGCCCTATAGCGAAAAACCTCTCCAAAAAAAAAAAAGAGAGAGATAGGCTGCATTGCTAGTAACCAAGAAGACCTTAGTAAGGACTCCCTGGGTCCTACCAAATCAAGCAAGATTGAAGGAGCTAGTACTAGTATCTCGGAGCCTCCTTCTCCTGTTAGTCCTTATGCTTCAGAAAGCTGTGGAACACTACCTCTTCCTTTGAGACCATGTGGAGAAGAGTCTGAAGTGGTAGGCAAGGAGAATAGCTCCCCAGAAAATAAGAACTGGTTATTGGCCATGGCAGCCAAATGGAAGTCTGAGAATTTATCTCCACGGAGTCCAACACCCCAGACACCCAATTCCAGGAGACAGAGCGGAAAGACATCACCAGGCCCGGTAAGTTGGCAGTGGTAGGAAGACACATTTTCTGGCTTGAAGGAGACTAGTGGGAAAATGGCTATGTAACTTGAAGGGGGCCAGGAACATGGATTTCTTCTCAAGACGGAATACTTAAAAAAATAAAATAAATTATTTATTTCTAGGGTTTCCAAATTTAGCACACAAAATAGGACAGTTTTTTACTGGACATATTTTTATACTAAAAATTTATTTGTTGTTTGTCTGAAAATCAAATATAAGTGGATGTGCTGTATTTTATTTAGCAAACATATTTACTCTCATTAAAATCCCTCCTGTCAAGGCCTATAAGCCCTGTTGTCTGATTTGCTAAAGCCTTCTTCAGGCTAGAGGATATCAATTTAGAAATATATCCCCTCTTGTTAGATAGTATGCCATCTTTTTATAGATAAAACTGTTGTTCATGGGAAAATTGCCAACATCCATAAGTAGATTTCCAGTTTATAATTACACTTTGTGATTATTTAAAATACAGTGAAACTTAGATAATTAACAAAGCAATCGAAGGGCAGAATCTTTGTAGATTTTTATGATTTCCATCAATATCATAATATTTAAATTAGATAATGTCAATAACATATTGCTGGCCAAAATAGGTTTGTGAACCTTGGAAAGCTATGACTCGTAACTGTGAAGTCAGAAGTAGCTATGCTTAAGGCATCGAGTGAGCTATGGGCACCAGTCAAAGAGAAGAGAATACTTCTGTTGACCAATTTGTAGGTGAAGAGATAGGTTTAGGGATCCAGCAATTAGCATAATGGCTATGTCGCTGGACCCCCACGTAGTCGACCACGGTTCGCGTCCCGGACCCGGTAGCTTAAAACTCACGCCAGGCACGTGTGTGTGCGTGCCCAAGATCCCGAGAGGAGAATGGAGGAGAAGGGATTGCGGCGTGACCATCCCCCCTGGGAGGTGATTTCTCGCTTTCTATCTCTATGTCTCTCTGTCTGTCTGGCCAGCGCACGCCCCCTATAGCGAAAAACCTCTACAAAAAAAAAACAAGAGAGAGATAGGTTTAAAAAAATTAATTTTAAAAAGAGAGAGATAGGTTAAGGGTGCTGGACTGCTACACAGCCAACTGCAATTGGAGTCTCTGATCTACTGATTTGCTTTTTCACAACCCCCCACCGCCACCTCACTTGCTCTGTCCCCTCACTGGTCAAATTTAAGTAAAGTTAAATAAAATAATTTTTTTATTTTTTAAAGAATGGTAGCTTAAGGAAGTTTCCACTGTAGTTCATAGTGGTTCTTGTCCTATGTTAAGGAGAAGGAGATAAGGGTGATTGAAATCCAATCCAAGGGTTGTGATGTATGATTATTATATCTGCCCTATAAAAGATGGAAGAAGCTGGAAAACCTTAGACCAATTCTAGTTTAATAAATGTTCATATCCCCCACCTACTATCATGAAGCCTATTTTATAATTTTAGGAAAAATAATCTAGAAATACTTTAAAGACTACTTACTTAATACACAAACTCCAGCCAAGACCTTGTTATAGAAAATGGTGGTTTGGGGTAGCTACAAGGAGTCTTGCCTTTCTCAGATTAGGACTGTTTCTTGTCCCAAACCAAAATTCTTTTTTCTTTTTTTTCCCAGGGGAACTGGTCTTAGTTCTATGTGTTAGCAGAAAATTAATTCTAATGAAATGCTCTTTCACTAATGTATAAATCTAAAGGTTTTTTTTTAATATTGGATTGTCAGAAAAGTCATGATGTATTTTGTAATGTTTTTCTATGCAAAAATGCATCATGACTTTTCTGACAATCCAATAGTATGCTGGTCCTATAATTTCTTTGAAGCTATGCTTTCTTTAAATGAACTTTTTTTTTTGTATGATGAAAACGTAGATCTCCAGAAGAGGGTAGCAACTGCAATTTGAATACCTGTCGTGTTTGTAAATTGAGGAGACAGATTTACTCATTTAATTCAAAGAGGACAACCATTGTGATCTCTTTGTTTTCTATTAGGGAATGTAACTGGGGGACCAGCAGATGGCGTAATGGTTATGTCACTGGACTCCCATGTAGTTTACTATAGTTCAAGTCTTGGACCCAGTGGCTTAAAACCCACTCTGGGCCTATGTGTTTGTATGCCCAAAATTCCAAGAAGAGAATGAAGAAGGGATTCCAGCATGGCCATCCCCCAGGGGGTGATTTCTGGCTTTCTATCTCTGTCCAGCGAGTGCACTCACCCTAAGCAAAAAACTGGAAAAAAAAAAAAAAAACAGGGAACTGTAACTGGTAATATTTTCTGTTCACATGGAAAGTCCATGCCTTTCTTCATTGTGTGCCATCTATTAAATTTTTACTAGATTTAGTACAAATCAGCCAGTAGAGACATTGTTGTCAAGAGTATTTAGGACTGAAAGCTGATTGAATAATCAAATGTATAGGCATCCCAATTTAAGGTACCCTTTTGTGAAAACTTGCTGAAGCAACAATTTAACTTTATCTTAGGAAATCTCTGAAATCTAAACTTTCTTCTTCTAGGGCACCATTACTCCCAACTCCATGAGGAAAATCTGTACATATTTCCACAGAAAGTCCCAAGATGACTTCTGTAGTCCTGAACACTCAACAGAATTATAGATTCTAATCTGAGTGAGTTTCTGAAACTTTGGGGCCACTGAAAGATGATTAAAATGCAACAGAATGACTATAACTCTGGTCTTAAGAGTGCTGCCATCTTTTCATTTTTAGAGAAAGTTCATTTAACTCTGAAATGCACTCTGGTTCTGCTATCATAGTATATAAGCAGCTTCCATGGAATTAATGCTGTGTTTAAATTTCATAAATTTGTTATGCTGTAGCATTTTGAATGAATAGTCTTTTAAAATGATGCATCTTTTCTACAATAATGACAGCTCATGGAGGCAAAAAACACATGTCTTTTATTATCCTGAAACTTTCTGTACACAGTGGAAAGTATCTGCCAGCCATAGCAGACGACCAACAGCTGCCGCAGA